GGTGGGGGTCCTGGAACCCTTCCCCCGCAAACCTCCAAGGATACAGGACGAAAGAACAAGTGGCCTTAAGTGGGAGGAAGAGAGGGGCTGGGGAGACGGAGTACTCACTGCTAGCCCACAAACTGCCGCGCCCCTGGCCTGAGGAACGGTGGGTACACACAGGAGCTGCAAGGAGCAGGGTGTTGTCAAAGAAGGGAGACCCCCTCGCCTTCAGGTCAGCTGTCCAATATGGGTCTGTGGGCCCCATTCTTATACATTTTTACATCTCTCCCGATAGTGGGCATTTTAATGAGGAATGGTACCTCAGGAAAGCAAAGAGATAACGTCTTGGTGGAAAGGAAGCGAGTTCATTTTAGGGTTAGTGCATGTCTGGGGCAGCCTAACTTAGCCGGATTTCTCCTACTGATTGACACTCCTTCCCCCGGGATGGGTGTCCCCCCGAAAACATCCCCATTTTGTGAAATCATTCATGGAAAAAACGTACCTTGAAACAAACAAAGAAACGCAGGTCCAAGGTGGGACCTGGGGAGTGGGTTTCCTGACGGGGTTTGGGGGGAACGTCATGGACAGGGTCTGTCCGTGCAGCAGCCAGGTGTACCCCGTAAGTTTGGAGGGTCAGGGACCCAGTACCTTCTTGGAGAGCCACTGGCAGACATGTTGATCACAGGGGACACCTATCTGGACGGTTAACATTCCAAGTTCACGGGGGACACCTATCTGGATGGTTAACATCCCAAATGTCGGATGGCTCACAGCTTCCAATTTCAACAGCTTTCCTTAAACTGAACCCAAATCTCCCCTCCTGGCCCTGACACATTGCGATCCCCATTGTGGTAACGCAGGACGACATAGGCCCTTCTTTCATGAGCCGACCTTGCAACAAGACAAGGCTTTTCTTTTGGGCTAACAAACCCAATTCATTATGCAAAGTATCTCCTTCTATAGGTGTCAGCTACGTGCCACCTGCCCCGCAGGGACCCTCGGCATCACTGCCATGCTTCCTCTCAGGGTTGAGCAGTACCCTCTGTGCCGTCATTGGCCATACACCCTCCTTTGGAAATCAGCAATCAAGTTTGAACGGGGTGGCCATTTATGGAGCCCTGGAAGGGGGGCCGTGGGCAGGCTGCTTCACTGCTCTGAGCCCGAGTGTTCTTAGCTGTGCAATGGGCTATGAATCCCAACCTCACAGCTCACCTGGGATGCTAAGACCAAACATGCTACTACATGCAAAATGCCCAGTCACGGCTGCCAAAGGCCCTTCACAAGTAGAAGTGCTCATGGAGTTTCCCAGCACGCTCTTGTTGTCAGAAGAAGGCCCTGCCTGGACAGGAAAGGAGATGCTGCTGACCATGTGTCACCTCAACGTACCGTATGAAGGATGGAGGACCTGGAGCGGAGGCTCTCCCGGGAAGCTGAGCGCTCGGGGAGGGGGGGCGGGGATCGCGAGACCAAAGACCAGAAAATCAGAATGGAGACTTCCGGCTGGGTGTCAGGATAGTCTGAGGAGACTGAAGCCGGAGGAATCTCGGATCTTCTGACTGACGCCTTACCATAAATACACTAGCCGTGGCTCAGGAAATCCACAAGAAAGAACAGTGGGCAACGTGGACAAGACGCCCTGAGCTCTGTGAAGGGCCGAATCTGGTGCCCATGGACGGTGTTAGCCGTTGCACTCCGTTCTCCAATCACATCTTCCCCGGGCCTGTGATTTTGAAATACAGTGGAGCCCCCCCAAGAGCCTGGATTTGGGAGTAAGACAGCAGAGGGTCTGCCCTTGTCAAATATTAGAACCTCTTTCATCTTCTGCTCTCTTTGTTGTCTTATCTGTACGATGGGGATGTGCCACGACCAGCCCTCCCAGCAGAGAGGCGAAGGTTACAGAAGCTGGTCTACGCAGAGTCCCGTGGACCAAGGTCACCTCCAGAAAGGGCAGGCTGACAAGCAAGGATCCCGTCCTGTGCTTGCCGATGTAGCCGAACTGTACACGCTCCATAGGGTCAGGCAGAGGATGCCAACCATGCAGAGACGCAGCAAGGACCTGGCACACGGCTGGCCCAGAGAACTTGTAGCCACGCCCCACACCAACAAAGTCTGTGCGGTAGCGTCTCACCTGGACATCGTACAGGAACTGGAAACGGCTCCTCTTGTTGGCAGCCTCTCTCACGGCCCGGGCCAGGTCTACCGACCCCCTCCCACCAACTGACCAGTGGTGGCAGGGGACAGCGTCGAAGGCCCCCGCCCGCTTCGCCAGCTCACACACCAAGTCGATCTCGGCACGGGTGTCGGTCCTGGTGATGAAAAGGTTGGTGAGTTTGCAGCTGCCTTCATTTAGAGAAAGCCTAACAGACGAGCTGTTTACATAGCTCCCTGACACTGAATATATCTCAACATCAAAAGTGGTTACAGCATCGTGTTTAAATACAATCAGACTTAAAGAAAAGCACGGGGTAAGAAGAACAGGGAGGGGGAGAGTCCTCTCAAACGATGCAAATAGTTTAAGTCAGTCGGGGTTTTTAATGGGGAGAAATCCATAACATAGCCCTTTGATCATCCCCGGTCTTCAGACAGAAAATGCTGGTGGAATTTTATTAAAAACACCAGAAAACCCATTTCCTCGAAAAACTCTTCTGCTAAAATAAAACCGAACTACCCAAGCCCCGGAGCCAGGGCGCATGCCCCGTGTACTTCCCAGGGAGGGCATTGGCTGACGGGCAGCCTGGGGACACAGAGCGCGGGCCTTGGGTGGCCCAGCAAGGGGACCTCGAGGGAAGCAGGACTGGGACTCACTTGAAGACGTTCAGAGCCACGACGACAGGAACCCCGAAGAGCTGAGCGATCTGAATCTGCTTCTGGAGGTTACAGCAGCCATCCGCCACCAGCTGAACGTTCTGGAAGAAAGCCGGATCCCATCGTCGGTTCCCCTCACGAACCCCACAAGTTCCACCAATCCGAGGGCCCCTCAGCAGGTGCTGCTCCAGTCTTGGCCGTTTGCTCCTGTCCCCAAAGCTTTCTCCAGATGAAGTAGGTGCTGTCAAGTCGACTCAGACGCAGCGTGACCCCTGTGCGTGCTGGGATAGCTTTGCACGGGCTGATATATTTGGGGGGCTGTCAGGGTCCTCCCTGCTACAACTCATGGGGCCACTTGGTGGAACTAACTGGCTTTCGGTACCACCATTGGACCGTGCTCCGCTCTGCGCGCCTGTACCCCAGCGTCAATTTCCCGACAGCATATGATCACCTCGTATCCCTGGGCCCAATTCTGGACATGCTCATAGCTTTAATGTGCACACTTCCTAAACTAAAGACTGTGCAGCTTGTATATGCCCAGGAAGCAAACACAAGACAAAATACAAAGACTGTGGGTGATACACTTTGCAGCAACATTCACATTCCTGCAGTGGTATAGGGTGGAATTTGCAAAATCTCCTGTCATGTTACTAACCCACCAGTCTCAGGACAGCAGAGTCGAATAACACAGGTAAGTCGAAACCACCCTGAGATCTCTGATGACAAGAACACACGTGTATAGGTTTGATATTTGCATCTGCCCTGCAGACTAGGAGCTGCAGAAAGGGAGATAGAGATTTAAGACTTAAGAGGAATGGATCTTGCTTCCTTGACTGGGTGTCCCCCCTTTGGAACTCATCTAGGGGTGCTGCAGAAGGAGGGCCTGGGATCAGTTTCGGCGAAGATTAGACACAAAAAGGGAAAG